CACTCATTGTTAAAAAGCTTAATTTTAGGTCATATTTAGTAAAAATTAATGGCAAAATGTATAGGCGCAATTCAGTGTTTATTAAGAAATACAATGCTCCTCCATCAGAGGATGCTGAATTACATTATCACAAACATAACGATTTTGATTTTGATGAAACTGTTGATGTCTCAAATAATGTAAACATAGATAGAGGCTGTTGAAGATTTAAATAATTCTATTGTTCTTTGCCAATGGATTTACCTGACTCTATTACAACTAGGTCAGATAGAGTAATCAAAAAAACCAGAAAGACTAGACTTGTAAAGTTTGTATTTGTGAGCTTTGTATTCCTGACGTTAAACCATTATTGTATTTTTGATTTTTTTGTTTTGTTGTAAGTAATATTTGTATTTCTAATAATTTGTTAGATTAGATCATAAGTTACATACTACCTATATGAACATTGTAATATATACTTTATTTTCATATTTTATTTTTGTATTTGAAACTTGAGGAGGGGGATGTTAGGTTGGTAACATCTTTGTAACTAATAACCTCAAGCTGGTTATTACATCCTGTTCCTATTCTGTATACTCATGTTGTATAGTGTGTGCCCTAAATAATAAACTTGATACTATTGCTAACATGTGCTTATTAATTATTACATCCAAACAATTACAATGTTTTACTGACTTTACCGATCATTTTAGCAACTTCATTTTAAATTATGGCAAAATTACACGTCCTGGAAGAACTGAAATGTAAAAACAAAAAATGTATCCGGACTCAAGACTGAAAATTTATTTGAGAAACTGAAAGAGATCAACATCAGAATCAATTTTGAGAACCTAGGTCCTCGTTTGAAATATGAATTATCGACAGATGCTTCATATTATGGCTGTGGGGCAATTCTTTATCAAAGAGATCCAGAAAAAATTAAGAATAGACAACTAAGAGTCATCACCTAGTACTCTTATACTTTTTCAAAATGTGAAATGAATTATTCAGTAACAGAGAAGGAATGCTTGGCGGTGGTAAAAGTAGTGAAACATTTTCGCACCTATCTAGAAGGACAAAATTTCAAAGTGCATACCGAACACCGTGCTTTAACCCAACTTTTATCCACCGGAGATCTAAGAGATAGATGGCAAATATTTTTGANTTATCTTGATTACTTTATTCGTTTTATTGTATTTTTATTTCACGTTTTATTGCTTTTATAATTGATATTTCAGCTATTCATTCTAATTTTATTTGTTTTTTCATGGATTAGACAATGGAAGTAGTAGGTAACTTGTAAAATTTACCGTGAAGCAATGTCAACCACCTTCAAACAAACCATGTGATATTTTTTTTAATTTTTCCTTCTATCTCTTTGATTTTTTTTTACTGTTAGGAGCTACAAGTTGAAAAAAAAATGGCAAAAATTATTTCAGATAGGTTATTGCACGTTGAAATATAAGACATCATCAATCTTCAGCTCGCACAAGTTTCGACTTTTGAGGGTTGTCGTTCGTAAGGGGCCGTTTGCTGGGTAACAGAAAAAGAGATTTTTCAACAAATGTATTAATTCCAGTTTGTTGTATAAAATTAACATCATCTGATGATCTACACATCGTCCAAAGAGTTTTCTGTTGCTTTTTCTTCATTTTTTTGTATAGGATTTCTACTTTATAGAAATTTCAATGAGGAGTTGAAAATCGAACGGTAATATTCCTCTAAACTATTGTTTCAAAAGTTTTGTCCCTTTTATTGTCATTTGTTTTTGTTGCTTATTACTATGTGATGTCGTTAAGCCATTTTGGCCAATTTTTCTCTACGAATTCGAATTGAACCAAAGCGCTGCCAAATGAGCCGAAAAAATAACCAGCTATTTGAACTCACCTTTCGACGTTGGTTTGCCAAATTTCGTTCCGGAGATTTTAGCCTCGAAGATGAGGCCCGAAGTGGTCGACCTACAGTAATCCAGGACGAGGATCTGAGGACCCTGGTGGAGGCTAACCCATCACAAACGGTGGGTGCGCGGGATGGTGGAAGAACTGGACGTCAGCTGCCATCCGGTTTTTGATGGTTGAAACGTATTGGAAAGATCATAAAGCTCGAAAAGTGGGACCTCACGATTTGAACGATCGACAGAAAGTGTCACGTTTCGATGTCTGTTATTTGCTTTTGTACACTGATCGGATCGTGACGGTGATGAAAAGTGGATTCTCTACAATGGGAGACGTTCTGGACAGTGGTTAAATACCGATGAGCCACCCAGGCACTTCCCAAAGGCGAAAATCCACAAAAAAGACTATGGTTACTGTAAGGTGGTCAGCGTCTGGTGTGATTCACTATAACTTTCTGCAACCGGGCCAAGCCATTACAGCAGAGTCCTATTGTGAGGAATTCGATAAAATGTACCGAAAATTGCGTCATTAGCAGCCGGCATTGGTAAAGATAAGGGGTCCGAACCTACTCCACGACAACGCTACACATTTTCAATCACTTCGATAACTTTCCATCGGTAGAACCTTCGCCAATCAGGACCAGGCAAAAACGGCCTTCGTCAACTTTATCGAATTATTTTACCCAATTTTTATGCTAACGGAATTAATTGACTTGTGTTACATTGGAAAAAGTGCACTGATTTAAATGGCGCTTGTTTCGATTAAATTGAATAAGAATTCACTGAGATATTACAGTTTAACCTAGACTCATAAAAACGAACAAAATTTTTAAACAACGTAATATGAATAAAAATTTCAGTTCATAAAATTTTTATAGGAAAAAGTCTGAGAAGGAAAAATATGAAACTCCTGCGTTAGAAAGCAATAGAGTTCATTGGAGGAACGAAATATACACAGTTGGTTCTGGTGTTTTTCTCCACCCAGACGTCTATTATTTTCAAAATGGATTTAAAATTGAGTCATTTGAGAACGTAAGTAATCCTAAGCAATCTTCAACTTGTTCAGTAACTATACCTATCTTTTAGAAGGAAAATGAGGTGGATGAAATCCTATTTCCAGAATTCTATAGAAAAAAGTCTGACAATACCAAAGGCTCGAATAACGACACTACGGATCCATTTGTAGTAGGTCTCATTGAGGGTATAATGAAGAAGAGAAACGATATTGAAGTAAAAGTTAAAATTTTTTTTCGACCAGAAAACACAATCAGCTCCTCGTTTTTGTCTCACCTGAAAGATTTGAATTATGTGTACTACACCAATGAGGGTAAAAATTAGTAGAGAAAATAAGATTCAAATTCAAAACATTCTTCTCTCCCGGCTGACCCACACTGTAAGATTTTGTAAATATCTGCAGAAAAACCACTACTTTCCTGAATAATACCCGAACGGATATTTCATACCCGACAGTCATTTGTTCAAGTATCCTCACAGAGGCCATACTTGCAGTTTTTTATTTGTTATAATAATACCTCATTTCCAGTCCAGACAGTAGAAATTGTGTAAAAGAAAAAAGTTGAAAAAGAAAAGAGCTTACAATCAAAATCCATAATGAATAGGAGTTTTTTGAAGAATTCTACTTTATTGGAAAATTTTCACTGATCATATGTAATAATATATCATGACATGTTTTGCTAACACAATAGCTTTTTCATAGTGAATTAAGTACTATGATTTCATTCTTAATCTCTCCTAATCACAATCAATTGTAATTACATAGGGTATATAAATATCAAAGTAAGAATGAACTCATATAGTACCTAATTCACTACAATAAAGCTACTGTCGTGATATATTTCTTTAAATAAAGATCGAATCATAGAGTGTAGATTATGAATATACATATATTCCATTTAAAATGAACCACTCTTAATGTTGGTAAATGATTTGCAGGAAAAATAAAAAACACGTCAACCATAATATACAGGTGGACACATTTTGACATATTCACATTTGATGTTACTTCCCCTATCGCACCTCCAGAGCATGTCACCAATTTTTCTTAAATGGATCACCCTATATTGTTTCGCATTATCAGATGCTCCATGATGAGCAGATTTCAACAAAGTATAAAACATATGGTCTGAAGATTAGAAGATAAGATTAGACTACTTCATGAATTGAACGAAGATGATTTCAATAGATGTATCGAGTTTTGTGAAAGTCTCACTGAACAGATCAACTTGCATCAGAATTTCTTGTATAAAATTTGTTTTTCGGATGAATGTACGTTTAGTTTGAATGGAGGGGTGTATCGGCAAAATTATCGATATTGGAGTGATACGAATCCTCATTTATACCGTCAAGTTCATACCTAACGACCTCAAAAACTGAATGTTTGGGCAGGCATACCTGCTACATTACTCGAAGGTGGTCGAACTGCTCATGCTACTTTTAAGTTGCCACTCAACTTAATCACTGCCAAAACTCCCATTTGCAACATCTCCAAACAAAGTAATTTTGGTGAAGTTTTAAAGAGTACAAAAATAATCGTGTGGGACAAAATAACGATGGCTCATAAAGGTGGTATTGAAGCCTTAAACAGATAACAAAGGGATATAAGGGGTGATACAAAATTAATGGGTGGCGTAACAGTTTTGCTGGCGGGAGACTTTCGGCAGACTCTACTAGTGGTGCCAAAAGGAACCAGAGCTGACGAAGTAAAGTCGTGCATTAAGAAATCTAATTTGTGGCCCCAGGTTAATATTCTTAAGCTCTAAAAATGATAATGATGAGTCTGCTGGTAGATTTTCAGATCTCCTTCTTAAAATCGGTAATGGTGATTTTCCATCGTTTGATGGAATGATAACCATCCCGGAAGAATTGTGCACAGTTGTTATTACGGTTCAAGAATTGCTGTCTAAAGTTTATCCAGACATTATTCATATACATGAGCCTATTGAATGGTTATGTGAGAGTGCCATACTTACTCCAAAGAACGATCAAGCAGCAGCTATCAACGATATCCTACTCATGTCGTTTGAGGTCGAAAAAAAGGTCCATACTCCAATTGACACTGTGGTTAATACAGATGACGTTACTAATTACCCTGTAGAATTTTTAAATTCATTGAAATCGCCAGTTTTGCCTTGTCATAAGCTTATTCTGCGTGTAGGCACTCCAATTATGTTGTTGCGAGATTTAAATCCACCAAAACTTTGTAACGTATGAGACTGCAGGTGAAAGCGCTACATCGCAATATAGTGGAAGCCACTATATTAACTGGGTGTGCGAAAGAGGAAACTGTATTTATACCACGAATCCCATTAATACCTAATGATATCCCGTTCGAATTTAAACGATTACAGTTTCCCCTAAAAGTCTGATTTGCCATGACAATACACAAGTCTCAGGGGCAAACTCTCAAATTTGCGGGTATTGACTTGAGAGAACATTGCTTCTCTCATGGACAGTTTTATGTTGCTTGCTCACGAGTANAGTACATCGGGAAGAAAAATGTTGTTTCGTAATAAATTGAATATGAATAATATTTGAAAATTTTCTCGAAGTTTCTTAAGGGTGCTTAAATTAAAATCTTCCATTTGTTTTACATAAGATATCATAAAAGGGTATATTCCATATTTTTTTAGATACATTGACCTGAGATATCGTTTTTGTACCTTTTCCAGCATATCAGCATATTATGCTTCTAGCTCAAGGTAAATGAAAACGATAAATTGATGGATGTAGCCGTCACTACGTGGTAGGAAATCAAAAAAAAGAGAATTGAAACTTTCTATGTTTTTACCACTTTTATTTGTAACTAACTTTACTGCAGTTTCGTCCTATAAGGACATTTCGTACATTAAACTAATAGTTTAATGTGTAAGTTTGTGGTTTTTTTACCACTTTTATTTGTAACTTATACATTAAACTATTAGTTTAATGTCTAAGTTTGGAAATGTCTTTATTGGACGAAACTGCAGTAACGTATAAAAGTGGTAAAAAACATAGAAAGTTTCAATTCTCTTTTCTTGAATGAGAACGCTTTATAATTCTGATATTATATTGATGATATTTTAGAATTACTTCAAAAATACATTTGTTTTTGAACACTTGATTACACGGTGCGAAAGCTATTTTCCGGGATTTTTTTTGTCGTAATCTGTAGGTTTTTACGTCTGACGTTTCTACTACTACTATTGCGGTAGAATTGTCAAAGGCGATGTGGTAACGGTCGCAGTGCCTGAGTTGGTGCTTGAGTTGTCATTCCCGTCGTTTCGACCGCATTAACAACGATGCTCGTATTTGACTCTGGTTTTATATTATTATTAGTGGGCGTGGCTTGGTTTCTAAGGTCAGGTAGCCAGATTTTATTGATGTTCACAGCCTCTTCTTTTCTATTGAAATTTTCCCTGTATTTTTGAATACCTATTGCCTCTCTAAATAAGAGGCAATGGAAATAATGAGAGTGCCTTTCTTGTTGAGAGTATGTTCGGCTACATTTGATTTGTCGGTTTCTCCGAGTCGACAATTTCTCTTGTGTTCAGAGAGACGGGTACCCACACTTCTTTTCGTGATTTAAGTGTAGACCGAACCGCAGCTACAAGAAATCTGGTATCTGTTTAAAATCTGTTTTTCCGTTAATCAGCTGTCGCCCCCATACGAACGACAACTCTCAAAAGTTGAGAACTTGTGCGAGCTAAGGACTAACGAGATCTTACCTTTTAACGTGTGATTCCTAACACGGTTGCAGAATCATTCCAGCTTCAACCAGATAAATTCTCTCGAGAAAAATATCTGGTCGAGGCGGGAATCGAACCCACGGTCTTCCGATCGTGAGTCGGGCGCACTACCACCGCGGCCAATTCCACAGGGTATACCCCGTGTGTTGCTAAAATTTCTCTGGGGTTCTTAGCTGATCTTAGACTCTGATAGTTTATGTTGGCCTAAATACTCTGATAGTTTTTGTTGGCCTAAATATTGATTTCATGTCGTGTTTCTCTAAGATTCTCCCAAACTGGTCCGTAACATTTTTAACATAGCGAAGAAGAGATTTTTCCTTGACCATCCTAGCTGGGCTTACTTTGGCGTTTTGTCTCCTGGGTCGTATGTCCTCCTCGAATTATCCTTTGCGATAACCATTCCAATTTGAAAGCATTTTTCAAGTGATTGAGTTCCTCAGGAAGACTCTCAGGTTCACGAATGCATCAAGACCTCTCAATCAACGTTTTAATTACCCCTCTCTTTTGTTGTGACTGGTGGTTAGAAAATGGCTTTCACACAGTTATCTTCGGCCGTGAAAGTTTACATTCTTTGATCAATTGACTCAAATACACAGTTCAACAATACGAGAATAAACTAAGTCTACCTAATACTTAAGTCTCGATTCCACTCAAGCTGATGAAACTGCAGAGCATATACTTTGTGCCTGCCCCGCTGGGACCGAATCAGGTTCTTTGAGTTCGGCAGATCCGTACTCTCACCATCTGACCTGAAAGACCACTCACCATACAAACTTATCGGCTGGGTGAATAGGTGTGAGCCACAATAAACCCTAATGGGTTGCGGTGGAGGGTCGAATAGACCCACTCACTTCAGACCTACCTACCTACCTACCACTCAAGCACAATATAATATTTAAATGAAATGAATAAAAACACTTTTGTATAAATAGATTTTATAAATAAAACCACAGGTGGTATTTAGACATTTCATTTAAGTGATCATGAATTACCATGAAGTAAACAAGTCATCAATCACACATACAATATAATGTATTGAGTAATGGACTCTTTGTTAAAACTGATTAGATTTATGAGTAAATGTTTGGATAATGAGTCAATTGCTCAATGTATATTTTGTTGAAGTAGAAATAAGTGTTGACAGTTTTTGGACTTGATGTACCTCAGTGGAGAAGGATTTTCAGCACAGAAGTATATTCTACTGTGTATAGCAAAGGATAAGACAAATCATTTTTCAGGCAGTATGCTATCTCATTAACACTACTAGCAACATATTATCCAGCAGGAGCAACTGACTGAACTTGAATAAATCATTTACTTTGTGGGAAAGGTGTTTGAGATGAATGTTATGAATTTTATTTATTTTCTTAGTATCCTTTTCATAGTTTTGTATTTATCCTGAATGGGATGGGAAATTTTGAGATTTTTTTGAGCTTCATTGCATCCTAAGTAAAAATAGTTTGGATAAGTTGCAAACCGAACTGTATTTCAGAACCAATAAAGTTAACCCCTTCTATAAGTGAGTGTTTTCCTTATATAGATCTCTCTGCACACAAGTTTGATGAATGTGTCAGTCAAAACAAAATAACATTTATATTTGTGGATAAAATGAACACTTTTAACCAACAATAATTCCCAATAAGCAATTAATGAATAAAGCAAACATTTTAAATGTTTCTTTGTATGGCACAGTTCAGCACAAGGTATACTATATCATTATTTAACCACCATTATTTAACATTTTTGAATTTTTTTAAATTCCAATGCCTTGATGGAGCATTGTAGTAGCTTGTAAAAGATTAACATTTAGTGAGTTTCTACAGCAAACAGTCAGTATATGTCTTGGTTTATTTAGGAAACTAGCTGATTTTGTGTTGTAGTTATGAGTGTTCGAGTTTTTCAGTAACAAACTACCATTTTAATGAATATGTGTTGATGCTACATGAATATACAAAGTGGGTAGTCCATAATACTAAGCTGAATACTGAGCCGACTATGATCCTCACAGTTGAGAATTGCCAAGATTCAAAACATCTGAAGGCAGCTATTGAATTAAAAGAGTTTTCCAAAATTAAATTCCATAAAAAAATAGAATGTGGTAGGAAGAAATATGATGTTTTGAGGATATATAAATGTAACGTTTTTACCTTCTTGATAATTAGTGTGCGAAGAATCAATTGAGTTTGTCTTCATTAGGTTTAACCACTTGGCTAAATTTAGTTCTCTGTTTGCAAACTCCTTAAGCTCAGGGTATGTTTTTTTTGTTATTCGCAGAATGTATGATACATTTTTTAATGAATGGTCTTACAGTAGGTAGGGATTTAAGTATCTTCTTTATGAGGGTTCATACAAAACATGAGTATTTATAACAACAATATTCGGGGAAATTGATAAATAACGTTTTGTACCATTTTATTGTTTTGCATCCCGTGGTTGTAGCATTGATAAGCGTGACAGTTTGATCATACCACCACAAATATTGGTTGTAGTCCAGGATTCAAGTGGGTTTCATAAGAGCAATGTAGTGATCATATCATAAGAATTAATGCAATTCATTCAGAAATCCTAATATACATACATAAAAATCTTGGTTTAAAAAATACTTTCATTCATTCCGTGTTAGGAATCACACTTTAGTCCTTAGCTCGCACAAGTTTCTCAACTTCTGAGAGTTATCGTTCGTATAGGGGCGACAGCTGATCAACGGAAAAACAGATTTTTTGTGAACAGATTCATATGTATTATAAGACCGTATCAGCACTAAATTTTTTTGATTGGCAAGTCCTGTAACTTTCTCAGGCATTTTCAGCATATATTTCTTGGCTTTGTTAAAGGTTCCACAAACATAGGTTTTTCAGATATATATCAGAGCAGTCAATGCATATTTGTTGCACTAATTATCCATAATAGATTTCCTGGACTTTTATTAATAGGTGATAACAAATCTTATTTTATACAGTTTATCTTCGTTCACAGATTTCTTATTATCTCAAAAATGCAATTTTTCAATGATCAAAAGGGTGCTCATCTGTTTTGTCAGCAATATAATTTTCTTTATATCCATATTTTATTTAATTTTTATTAGACGCAGCAATCAGGAGAGCTGACTAAAACCACTTTTTACAGCTATGTTATGTTTTTGTATGTAACTAGACGAATCATAACTTTGCATAATGAGGGTCAATCAATTAATATCCTATTATTTATTATTATTCCTATTGTTATTCACTACCTGACCATCAACATGATATAGGTAAATATACATGATAATAATTAAGTATACAATTTTCACTCTATAAATTTTATTTAAGACGTGTTTCCCTTCAAGGTAGCTTTATCGGTTGGACTGTTATTGTGTAGCAAAATGCAACTTGAATGAAATGTTTAGTGTGAAAATTTTATAAATATCATCATGGATAGTGTTATTAGTTTGCATTAAGTAACGGATCAGTGTATTCATAATATACGAAAATCTTCACCTGTTTTCTACCTGAAATTATATAAGAGTGTAAAAAAGGTTGTTAAACCTTTTTTCCGAAATCTCAGACTTTTTCTTTTCCGTCATTTTGTCATTCAGGTTGCCCAACACTTTTTGAAGTGTACAAGCAGTTTCTAAAGCCACTTTCATATTCATTTTTTCAAAAATTTGAACCAATTCTTAGGTGTATTTTGGTTTGTATGGAAGAACTTAAAATTTTGAGTCTTTGGAAAAGTCGAGGGTTTACGATGACACTCTGAATTTTCTCTTCCTAAATAATTCATCCACCTTGTTTGAAGGATACCCGTTACTCCTAGATAACTTTTTTTCTCCATATCATATCTTTCTTTGCTTGAAGGGAACTTGACCAGCCTATAAATAAAAAAATGTGGTCCTGCCATATTTTGTTGTGGTCAATGGTGGGAGCTGTCAGTGATATTCTGATATATCTGAAAGTGCTCGTATTCTTTCTACAAGTAAAATGTTTCACATATTTCTGTTGAAAAATCTGTTAAAATCTTTTTTGTTAACTACCTACCACCCCCCTACAAACCTTCGGAAGTCGAACCTTGAGCGAGCCGAGGATCAATGAAGTCTTACCTTTTAACGTGCAATTTCTAGCAGTTTCATAGATCAGAGAAGGCCTGTACTGCTCAACATGCCATAGAGAATGACTGCAGAATAAGTGAGGAGTGTTTGAAATTCTTGAAGTCGGTATATGACAAGTTTTTGGATAACTTCGAAAGTTCATGAATCAAAAAATGTTGAATAAGACTTATGAACAGTGATGAAGGTCTCATTCCTAACAGTCTACTTCGAACTCTTATGTAATTTCAGGTGGTAAATAGTCTAGTAGTAAATAATAATAGGAACAATAACAAAATACTATGAATCAATTCAATGACCCTTATTATGCAACGATTTTATATGTATATAAAAACATTAACATAGCTGTAAGAAGTAGTTTTAGTTATTTCCTGATGATGCTAACTTCAATAGATTCATATTAAGCCAGAGGTTCTAAACTTTACTTATCTCTTTGGTTTGAAAGCAGAGAGACATGTTCATGCTTATGTAAAAATTCCGTGAAGTGAAGCATCTGCCTGTAAGCAGCAATATTTCAAAACTTACACACATACGTACTTGAATCGTATTTTTATAGTTATATTAGATGTATATGAATGGTTGTGTTTGTATAGCTAGCTATTCCTGTTTATTTGAACTTCTACGACACTCATTCCCAAACAAATCTGCTGGTGCTTACAACACTTTTATAGAAAGGGTCAACTGTATATACAAATAGGCAACTTCCCACAGAAGCTCATGCTGCCGAATTATTTGACAGTGCAAATACCCTTTTTTGATTTTCAGAGGTTACTGTACCATTTGAAAAAATAATGGGAAAATGCTATTTGGCATTTGGTAATAACATTGATTCGCCAAGTGACTGGTCCAAAAAAGGCCCTTTCAGGTTTTACTTCACAGAATCTTATGATCCGAAAAATCATATTCACGATGAAGTGCCTTTGTATTATCAAAAACTCGAAACTCTGGGAAAAGGAAAAAGTAAAGGTAAATTATTTTTTTAATTGAAAAAATGAATTTTCGATTAAATTTTTCAAATAGTCAATCGTTATCTGTTAATATGCTATTTATTTTTCATTGCTATTAATGTTTTCCAACTTCTGAAGGAATCATTGAATGCAAAAGGATATATAGAATGTCTATACACACATACAAATTCAAACAAGAGGTATAGAGAGTAGAGACTAATGTAAAGAAATCAAAAGAGACTAATGTTGTTCGATTGATGTTGAGTTTTATGCCATTCCTGTGATGTTGTGATATTTATTGAAATGAGATTTATTTCATTATTATTATTTTGAAACAATATATTCTTATATCTTAATATCTTTCGCATTCTATAAATCAACTGACTTTTCATTCAGGTGGAAAAAGGAAAGTGAAAAGTAAAGTTGAAAACAAATTACCTAATCTACCGCCAGAATGGGAGTCACTCGATCGACCACTACGATGTATGGACGTATTTGCTGGCTGCGGAGGATTATCAGAAGGTCTACATCAGTCAGGAGTTGCAGTATCTAAATGGGCGGTAAGTTGTTTTATGATTCATTTATTTTTTCAAAGAAAGACGAACAAACTAAAAAAAATTGATACAAATTAAGCAAAGTCATACCAGCAGCGTTAACACCCGGTGTTGACCGCTATTTTTATTAATATTTTTCCTTTAAATTATTATTCAGTATCTATACATTTCACATTGATTTTATTATATTTGTCTATGATCAACACTCGGTAAAAGAATGCCGTCCACGAAGCTCGAGAAACGGACAGCACAAATACATATATCATGGTGTGTACAGTGCTTCGAAGTATCCCAACGCGGTTTTTAGTGCATCCCACTGCTCTTGATAATGACCTATCGCTACTGTGTCATATTCAACCAATAAAAACTACAGTACACTTCCCCGGAGAATTGAAAATCGTCCAGAAAAAGAAACCCTACAAAGGAAGGGAATGAAGAGAAAATATGGATAAGAACAAAACAAACCTACTCTGTTCTCTGTTCTCACAACGAAGTGAGGACCGGGTGAAGGAATTGACTGGGAATGTTCTAACTTTTAACCTAGCCGCGGCTCTGTTTTCCAATAGAAAAATGGAAAATATACTCGTAAAAATCTGAATAGAATTTTTTTTCAATATACATCTACAGAGTGAGGACTGTAGTATTCTCCTAGTGAAGTGAGGTCTGTATATATTTTTCAAAGATCCTAACAATGTGAGGACATATATACACGTACTCATTCATCAAAAAGGCAAAGTGAGGTCCATTAAACGTTGCCGCGTTTTTCACATGTGAAACAGATGGATGCAAGGTGGATAAGAGATATGTATATTAGCGAAGATTCATGAAAGTTTGATTGTTGCATCGTGGATAGTTAGTACTGTGTAATTTAAGTTAGTTTTGATCAAAATAAAATAAAAAATACATGTTGTTAATGTTTTGAGTATTTCAGTTTCACAAATACATTTTTCAGGTTAGCCAAATACGGGTAGCCTGGCTTTCGCGCGCGTGGCGTCAATCTGACACAGCAACAAACCTTTTTTTTACATATTAAATATGGAAATTAAGAAATGAAAAAATTCATGTAGTTTTGGAATAAATCAATGAGCAATAATCCGCGATAAAAAAAATTGTATCCCAATTTTTCCATTAATTATGCATTTGTTAGTTGATAATTTTTTATGAACTGAAGGTTAACATAAAAACCCTGTTAATAAACAAACTAAAACCCTAGAAATTGTTTTAGAGATCCAAAAGAAAATAAAGAATAGACAACTAAGAGTCATCACCTAGTACTCTTATACTTTTTCAAAATGTGAAATGAATTATTCAGTAACAGAGAAGGAATGCTTGGCGGTGGTAAAAGTAGTGAAACATTTTCGCACCTATCTAGAAGGACAAAATTTCAAAGTGCATACCGAACACCGTGCTTTAACCCAACTTTTATCCACCGGAGATCTAAGAGATAGATGGCAAATATTTTTGAGAAGTTTCGATATGGAGGTCAATCATAAAAATGGAAAAGAACTGAAAGATTCTGACGCCATATCAACATCATGTATTGAAATACCCAACAATATTCAAAACTCTCTTTGATGTAATTTGGTTCCTCAAGATTTAGAAGAAATGGAAGATGACAGATATCAAGTTAAAAGCAAGCAGATGATAAACGAAATTCTAAAATTGTATCACGACGATGCTACTTCAAGAGGTTATGATGGGTATTATAAAACCTATTACAAAATTAACGCTAGATTCGTACGAAAAAACATGACTAACGATATCAAATATTACACAAAAACTTTTAAGGCATGCCAAATAGCAAAAGTCAAATATTCACCAAAACCTGACGTTGTTCATATCACTAAATGTTCTGAAAATTCATATCTGTTTAAAAATCTGTTTTTCCGTTAATCCGCTGTCGCCCCCATACGAACGACAACTCTCAGAAGTTAAGAAACTTGTGCGAGATAAGGACTAACGAGGTCTTACCTTTTTACGTGTGATTCCTAGCATATGAAACCATAAATGTTAATTCTAGTAAGGTACCAGGAAATTGGAAAAGAGTATATATCGAAACGCCCATTCCAGATAACAAGAGTCCATTTCATCGATGGGACAGTAGCATTCGTAAATTTCGACAATGATGGATGACCAGAGTCGGCTCATATTTCTAATATAAGGAAGTTTCATCACTTTCATGAGTTTGAAGAGGATGAAGCTTTGTAGTATATGAATACTATGTATACTTGTTTTTCATATATTCTTATTGCTATAGTGATATAAAAAACAACTATTGTAAAAATGTTAACGAGTAAAGTTAGGAATTCATCCTCTTGTTTCTTTAAAATTTAAGTACAAAAAATATTAAGGACCCCAGTACACTACCCTGAAGTGCACCAAATTTTGTAATAACTGGATCTCAGAGCTCATTTTCAATATTTGTAACCTGGCGTCTACAACTTGAATGGTATTTGAACCATAGCTTCTAATTTTTTCAACAAAATGTTTCTATTAATTGTTTCGAATGCTTTTCTCAGATTCAAAAACACTGCAATAATGTAATCACCCTTATCAATTGAGTGTGTCCACTTAGTTACAGTTAGTTGCAGAGCAGATTCACAAGAGTAATTCTGTCTGACTCCAGACTGATGTATTTCATAATCATAAATTAATTGTAAACAGCTAATTCCAACAACTTCTCCATTCCTGGAGAGGTATTTGGTCAAAATAATCAACATAGAAGATTATAAGACCACAGAGTAAAAAGAAATAAATAAAAAA